AAAAGGCAAAATAGTCATTTAATTAAGGAATGAATTAAAATTAAGATATGGAAGAGATATATACAAGTGGAGATAAGTAAAAAGGGAAAAAGGAAGATTTCTCCATAAAACTCTCTTATTATTATTATTATTATTCTTCAGCTGTGAACCTTAAGAGAAAATGTAAGTTTTCTTGTTAGTTGATTACTAGTTGAAATTAAGTTTGGTTCATTAGATGATACTTAAGCTTAAGGAAAGCTTAAGTTATCTTAAAACTATGAGATGAAGGAATTAGGAGGGATTAAAGATAAGGAGTCTTTAAATGAAACCTTAGCAAAGAGTTGATGAGTGGAATTTGAAACTAAATTTGACTTTTCAATAGTTGAATTGAGAGATATGAAGTGTTAGAATTTAAATTAGAATATGTTGAAAATTTGGTATGATTCTTGATTTCCATATAGATGATGAGATTTTGAGGATAAGGATATGTTGAATGAATATAAATTGATTATGGTAGGTATATGTGAGTTTAAGTGTATAAAAAGGGTGAAGGAATGAAAGGTTTAGATTATTATGGTTAAATTTCGGGTTTAAAAATGATTTCTGGACTGTGAGTATCGATACTGCTTCATCAAGTACTGATACTTCAAGAGTAAAATAGTGAATTTTGGTATAGGGGTATTGATACTGGTCGAACAATATCGATACCATAAGCTTGAATTTGACAAAGACATTCATGGGGTATCGATACCTAGAGGGTAGTATCGATACCAAGGGTACCGATACCATAAGGTCAATATCGGGACCAATTTTTGAAACAAGTATTTCGAATGCAAAAGGGATATCGATATCATGCTTGGTATCGATACTACAGCCAGGGAAGTATCGATACCCTATGGGGGTACTGATACTACTTCATATAGAAAATGAAATTTAGTCTTTCTTCTGGTCTAAGAAATTAAGAATCGAATCATGATATTTAGAATATTAATATGTATATATGTATGATTGTGTAGATATCGAGCACAAACAAGTTCCAAAACGACCACAGAGTTAGGATTGATCCAAAGAGAGAAAACCATAGAAGTGAAATTGGAATTAAGTAAGGCTAAGGTGAATACATACTATAGGTGCGGTTCAATGGAAACAAGACTTGTGATAAGTCTATTTTCTATATTAGTTCTCATGATCCAATAATTATGAACATGCATATGTTATGATCCTTATAAACACATGTATGAGTTATATATGTTTATATGATTTGATACATGTTATATGATTCATGTGAATACACTTAAATAACATATGTTATATGATATGAGATTGATGGTCATATGTACATGATTATGTGATGAAATTATGATTATGTGATGAAATTATGATTATATGAAGGTATGAAAAAAAATTAGCTGACCCTATTCCCATATGTAATGGGGTAAGGGGAGGTAGGGTAGTAGACTGCCCCCAACACTAGGTTGAGAGCAACTTCCGAGGAAGACCACCAGCAATTATGAATTACCCACCGTGGATATGAGAGAAATTATGCCCATGTTATGTGATATGAGAGCTATAGGTATAGTTGGCAAACTAAAAGTCGAGGGTTACATAGGTCATTCGGGACATAGATTCCACTTGTCACTCAGTGGATTCTTATACGAGCTGTGGTGACAACATATGTGTGCACAACCTCAAAGTACTCGCATACCTTAAGTTCGCAGTAATGTACATGAACTTATAAAAGATATAAAGAGTATTTACATGATTATATGTTAACATGTTATTATTGTTTAAACTGAATCATATATGACATTATTAAATGAGGATATGATAAGTATAATTGCATTTGGATAGTTAGATTGCATGTTCATAGGAAATGCCTTGTTATATTTTTATGCCTCACTAAGTATATGACTTAGAGTATAAGTGTTTTACATGTAGGTGCTGATAAGCAAGAGGATCAAGCTTAAGACTAGAAAAACAACATATCTCCACTCGAAGATCAGATCAGAAATATTTTTGTAAAGTACGTCTTTTTATGTAATAGACATGTTGGCATGTAAACAAAATCGTTAAGTATGTATGCTCTGATCGATTTTGGTGATGTTTTGAACATATGAATGTAAATGGTTAACTTTATATTAATTAAAGTTTAAAGTTTCTATAGTTTTTATAAAGGTACATGTTTTGAAAAGTCAATGTGACACCTAAGATTCGTATCCGGGTCAGATACGGGTTAAGGGTGCTACAGATTCAGCCATAAATCAACCTCCATAGGGCATTCCTCCTCTTTTCCACGAAATTCAAGAGCTCCTAAACTCTTTAGCTCTTTTGGGATCATCATCCTCGGTACTAGAGGAGCAGGGGGTAGAGGAGGTTGAAAACGAGTCAATATACCGTAGAGAGCTTGCATAAAAACTCCAAACTCTGGCATTGTCATCCCTTTATTTGCAGGCGCACTAGCATTTTCAGATGGAACCGACAGTTCACTATTAACCTCATAACTTTCGCTACCAGTTCCTTCTCTCATCTCTTGTTTCCCCGCTCTACGCAAGTTTAAGGATTCTGATATCTATTAGAACATGCATAGTAATAACATTATAGTTACTAAGGAGTGTCATCAATTACACTCTAATGACACCATATCAGTAACCTTGACAATTTTAGTTGCTTATAATCCTTTTTTCTTATTTCGAATGAACTCGATTTCGGACAAGAATTGGCTAAACCTGTAGCTTTGATACCAATAAATGTAATACTCATCTTCCGTATATCTTTTCGTACACGAGATACAGATGACACATCATTTTTTAAAACATTTTGTCATTTAAAAACTCGTAAAATTTTGTTTTAAATTTTAAAACCACACAATAGTATAACATTCATAGAAGCATAATACTAAAACTATCACTTTAAATACATTACAAAATATTTTCTTAAGTTCAATTACATGCCAGCTAAGTTTTCAAAATGAATAAGATTATCTCAATGTTACTGACGAGTCAACCTTTAATTGATGAAAGTTGTTGTGGCTGCACTCCTTACTCGACAAATCTTTGATTGTTACCTACACGTGAAATCAACACACGTTAAGTATTTACTTAGTGATGCATAACCTTGTAAAAGAATTACAATTTATTTATAAGTATGTCCTGACTATCAAAACCATGATAAATTGTCTACTTTATGGGATTCATTTACAGTCCTTTTAGTCAAATCAGTAAATGACATCGCTTATGTTAAAATGCATTGTTAAACGTTTAGTCTTTTACCCAAAGACATTTAATCTTTCATTTAATTTGCATGATTAACACATTTCTATCAAATGCACAACTAGGTAATTAATCTTTTACTCAAAGGTATTTAACCTTTCATCTAACTGGCATAATTGATACATTTATGTCAAATGCACATCATGCAATTAATCTTTTACTCAAAGATATTTAACCTTTCATCTAACTGACATAATTGATACCTTTCTGTCAAATGCATCGCTAGGCAATTAATATTTTACTCAAATGTATTTAACCTTTCATCTAACTGACATAATTGACACATTTCTATCAAATGCACAGCTAGACAATTAATCTTTTACTCAAAGGTATTTAACATTTTATTTAACTGACATAATTGACACCTTTATATCAAATGCACAACTAGACAATTAATTTTTTCCTCAAAGGTGTTCATTCTCTCTTTTCCCCTTTACTTTACTTTTATATCATAATTTATTTCCCCCTTAAAGGACCAAAATATCCCTTTCATTCTTTGAATTTTAGAAATTAGTCTTAACCAAACAATTTCTAATTTATTTTCTTATACTTTATCATTTATTAATTAAATCCTCAAAATTTAAATCTTTTCAATAAAGTCACTGGCCTGACATTTAGGGTATTACAAGTGCCCACCGTCACCAAGCTGTGGCTCTGCTACTGATTCATATTGAATATTTTATGATACAACTAAATATCGAGCCCTCGCTTACCAACCATGCATAATTCTATCTCTCGAAATGCGACCAAAAGAATCGGATCATGTTACGCTAAAAGTGAAAAGATATATAAACCACATATCTATTTCCTCCATATTCAACCTCCTTAACAACAACGTTTTCAAGGAAAAGAAGTTTGTATCAATATGGAGATCAAATACCCCCAACAGCATGATTCAGCTTCCGACACATATATATAGAAAATAGGGTAAAGGACACAAATGATCCCCGATTATAAAGTATTATTTTATTAAGTACATCAACTATTAAAAGTTACAAAATGATCCTCCAACTATAGAATGTTGATTTGTTGAGTCTCTCAACTATTACAAGTTACAAAATGATCACCTGACTATTCATTATATTCCAAATTCATCATTTTTTGTTAAAAAAAATCAGTCGTCTAAGATGAACATTATCATGATGACTGAAATATGATAGTCGTTTGAGATTCTGGTATCAGATTTTATCATATCACAGTCTGCAAGTTAACGTTCAGCTTAGAATGTCATCAACTTTTTAACAGAAAATGACGAGTTTGAAACATAATGAATAGAGTGATCATTTTGTAACTTTTAATAGTCGATGGACTCAACAAAACAACACTCTATAGTTAAAAGATCATTTTATAACTTTTAATAGTCAGTAGACTTAATAAAATAGTAGCCTATAGTCAGGGGACCATCTATGTACTTTACCCTAGAAAATAATTAAAAACATATTACATAAGAACCATTTATGTACACTAGGGTTTTCATACGCAAGGTATATTGTGTAGAATAATTAATATAACGGTAGTTGATTTGGTTACTAGACAAACATCAAGGGAAAACGATACATATGTATATATCACTGAACATATTATTATGCACCCCCTGCCCCCCAACATGGCCGGTTTATTGCGTTCACATTCAGTCGGCTATAACCATGTAAAGACTTCAAAGTCAGATTTCTAGAGACACAGATATCCCCCCCCCCAAAAAAAAAACTATTTGACAAAATGACCAAGCAACCGATAGAATTTTATCTTTTGTATTCTGAATACTTTGAAAGACTCACCTCAAATGCCTATTCCTTCACACTACAAAAGCTTCATCATTTTCAAGCGCTCTTCGTGTTCCGGATCAAGTTTTGGTGGGGTATAAGAGCCGTGAAGGTCCTCCACAATGTACTCCTGCAAAAGACCAATGTGAGATTTCATTAGTAGTAATATAATTATAAAGTTAGCTAGCATGATGTTTACCTTAGTAAGCTCCCTCTTAGTAAGAATATGGTAGTGTTTCTGCCAGATCCGCTGAATTGCCATGGTGGCAGCAAGAAAACCGTAAGCTATCCCCAGAATGGCAAAGATCACAACGAAAACCACCACCAGTGCAAAGCATGCTTCCATAGATGCAGGAAAGCAATCCAATATACCCCACCCGTAACAACAATTCTGGCATCCAGCCATTCGCGGGTCGTTGCTATTGAGGGAGGAGCAATGCAATATGAGACCAAAAAATCCGAGCAACACAAAGAAGGCAAGCACCCCTAAGAAACATGGGAAACATTATGAGTTTATCATCTTACCATGCCAGAAATTGGCATATGCTGCTGAACTCATGCATTAAACACTATTAATGTACAAAGCAATGTTTACCTGTAGTATATACTAGAAAAAGACAGGACAAAATCAGGGAAGCTTACCTATGCAATAATAAAATGGTATGGGATGGTTTGACAGTATGCGATCCCAACCATCACTGAATGACTTCCGGAAAGCCCCATCTTTATCCATGACATATGCAAAACCTCCCATTGTAGTAATCACCTGAAGAATAGATAAATCCATCATAGGATGACCATTTCAAGGCAATTGATGATGAACCAATCAGACAAGTTTCCTCTCAATCTTTCCAAGTTATGCATGACTAAAAGCTTGGGGAAGAAGATACTTATATCAGCCTCTTCCACTATTCCAGGGTCACTTGAATAATTTTTTCCCCATCTTTTCCACAAAAATAGGAAGGCGATAGAAGTATGAAGTTTGTAGGGGTTAGGTATTCTGAATTCTGATGAATGCATCTGAATGGTAGTGCTAAAATGAGGCTTCATGAATCCAACAATAAAAAATACATCAAAGTCGAAGGAGTAAGAAGGTGCAGGGTTTTCCAGAAGTTGGTGGCACCATAATACAACATGTAATCACCATATACAAATATCAGAATCAGCAATAAAGACAGCTAAATGAGAAGAATAAGAGGTGGTAGATTAACTATCATATAATAACCATATTAGCCTGATGCATGTACATGTAGAAAACTAAGAAGACTTACAGTTTGTACAGCCAAGAACACAAGAAAGACATCTCTTGCCACAAAAAGTTTGAACTTTATTTTACGCCAAGAGTTGTCCTCAAAAAATTCAACTCGAAGGTGAAACTGAGCCATGCAAGTCGTGCAATGGGAGAAAGCAAATCCTTCCTATCAAAAGAGGAGGATGAAGCTCACATTAGTCCAATTACTAACATATAATTTTCACACAAAAGTTGATAACTGAACCTTCACATTCAGGTAGAGAAACCAGCTTAATTTACCTTTACCGAACGCCAATGATCAAGGCAAGCACGATGAACAAACTGCTGGGTGCCTTTGCACATACATGGAGATATTAGTTCATCATCTACAAAACAACAATCAGTTCAAGGTTTGATTATACATGTCAATCATGTAAAATCACCCGCATGCCAAAACTCAATATTGAATATCTTAATACAATTACATTCACAATTCACGAACTCAAGCTAAAAAATTAAGATAAAAAATTAGAAACAAAAAGGAAAATCAAAGGATGGAATAAACCTTACCTTCTTCACCATCGCACTCGAGGCAAATGCGGCAACAAGGAGCAGAACCATTCTCGATATCTTCATTCCTAATCTCGCTCGAACTCTCCGGAGATGGAGGATCGATCTGGTTTCCTAAAAGAGGATCAGAATCACTAGGGTTTCGAGCATCTGCTGGCTCCAACTGCAATTCACCCTCCATTGATCGAGAAAGAAGAGAAAAAAATTAACCTACCTAGCCAAATATCAATGACCAAAATTTAGCAATCACGAATCGAACATAAAAAAATGATGCTTTAAAACAAAACAAAACATAAATCGATATATAATACAAAATTTCGCGGAATAAAAATTCAGGTTCTTGCCCCGAGGAAACTGAAATTGGGGATAATTGAAAGGTCAAAAGAAAGGCGGATAGTTAAAGGGGGGAAATTGTAAGTAACTCGGATTCTTTTGTTGGAATTTCTATATTATTTTATATTAAAATGGATATGGACCAAAACTGGCTAAATTCTTTCTTAGTCCTTAGGGTGATCGATTATACTAAAAAGTTCCATATATATATATATTGGAGAATGCGAATTAATCGTACGTAAGAGATGTTTAAACTTGTCAAATGTGATTTTCTTTTACCCTTTGAAGTTTATGATCAGAGGTTACTAATTAAAAAGTGAAGTTCTCATTATTGCTGTCATTATAATACTACTAAGGTAAATTCCAACCATTCTATTTCCACAACTCATACAGCTTAGATATCGAAGTCAACCTCTTAATATATAAGATTAAGACTAATTCTAATGTTCTCTTTAACAAGTTATCTAAACTTCATTAATTTGTATCATTTAACAGTCTTGAATTGTACCAAACCTTATTACAGTCGACTGGTGTCCTTTGTTCTTAAGAGGCCAGCGCGTAACCATGAGAAAAAATTTTACTAAGAGATGTTTAATTCAACAACAAGATATCATGCATTTCAAATTATCAATATGCTCTTTCATTCATCCTTCCACTATCCAATAGATTTTTTCTTTGTAATTAGAACCACAATTTTTCCCAATCGGAAACCAAATTGTTTGCAATCAAAGAACTCTGTTTTATGCTCAATCATCCCCATAGTTTCATCGTACGACAAACTGATCTAAGTAGTTCATAGAGTTCAAGTCTTCTACATGTAAATCTCTAAGACAGTCTTGTCAAAGAAATCAGGCTTACAGTTTACATTGTCACTATATAAATCTGGAATTACATGTTCAATTTCCCCCGAAAACCAAGTATAGAAGCACAACCTGAAAATAAAAACATAATTCACTTCCACAGTTTTCGTAAGGACATGTTTTTCTCTGTCTCCTTCTTCATCACCTTTGCCACAGCCATCTCGAAATCTTCCTGTGTTACATGGACTCTCCTTTCCCTCAAAGCAAACATCCCGGCTTCTGTGCAAACCGCCTGCAAAAACAAGCACACGTCTACATTGGTAAGACGTTCAATAAACCATATGGTCATGCAAAAGCATCTTACATATGTTCGTAAATTTTGTTAGCGGTCCTCAAAAGCCTCGCAGATGTCGTCGAATGACCTTAGCATTCATAATGAGATACCAAAAAACCAGATCCCATCCAAGGGTTTTGTATTTTTTTTAAAAATCACAAGTGTATTAATAAGTGCCATCCAAGGCGACAAAAAGATGACATTCACAGCTTGCCCACCATATTCTGATCAGAAAAATATATTCTATTTATCCAGAAACCAGACACAAATTGAATAATTATCAGCAAACATACCTTAAGCTCTGCACCAGAAGCACCATTCATCTTCTCCGCGATCTTCTTTAGATCAATCCCCCGCATCAAGTTCATTCTTCTAGAATGAATTTTTAGGATGTCCTGACGAGACTGCATACAATTGAATAGACAACATAAGTACTTATCATATAGCATAGTATCACGTGCTCACTAGAAAAGGGAGAAATTCGGGTAAAACAGTAGCAGGAAAATACTGACTGCCATTAAATGATAGCTCTATTAACTGCATTCTGCAGGTTCATAATACCCAAAACAGGTTGCTAATAATGGCAGAAGAACCTGAACAACTACCTAAATAAAAATGTTTTCTTTACAATGAAGTCTAAAATGAAAGAACACGTAATGCAATCAATTACATATGATCAGGAAGATAAATCATGAGATTTTGTTTTTACAGTTCAAATGCAACCTTCTCCATGCCTTTTCTTCTTCAAACATGCATAAGAACAAGGTGACAATGAGGGGATCACATTGAATACCCCTAACATGAAAAGATGGACAACTGCACCAATGTACTAGCAGGAACATAATGAGTTAATGACCACTATAACATGTACCTCCTCATTCGGATTTGGAAATTCAATCTTCCTGTCAATTCGTCCTGGCCTAAGAAGAGCTTGATCCAATATATCAATCCGATTTGTAGCCATCAGAACCTGTTCATCAACGCACCAAAAATTTATTAAAGGAATCAACAAAAAATAACTATTGGCAAATTTAAACAGTGTTTCCTAATTCACTAGATCAGTATCCACTGAAGTAATTAATACCTTAATCTTGTTAGATGCTTCAAATCCATCAAGCTGGTTGAGAAGTTCCAACATGGTCCTCTGCACCTCACTGTCACCATTGCCACTTCCAGATTCCATTCGGGCAGATCCAATACTGTCTATCTCATCCATGAATATGATCGATGGAGCATGCTCCCTAGAGATAGGAGAGGAAGGAGAAGAAACCGCTTTTGTAAACAAAATATAAACTAAAGTATAACAGCATGACAGATAATCAGACAGAAGCAGCTCTACTTTGTGTTTCAGGCTACATAAGATTGCGCATTGGCTAATGACTAATAATAGATGACAAGTAACTATCTACAAATTAAAAAAAAAAATTCTTCATCTCAATCAAAAACAAAAAGGGTTTTGAAATCAATTTTGTAAATCAATACCTTGCTATATAACATGTTTTCCCTTGCATTTATTTAAATTATGAAGAACAATCAAAGAAGAACAAACCTGGCCATAACAAAAAGTTCTCTAACCATTCGAGAGCCTTCTCCAATGTATTTCTGAACTAATTCAGAACCAGAAACCCTGATGAAAGTACAATCAGTATGATGCGCCACAGCTCTGGCCAGAAGAGTTTTTCCTGTACCAGGTGGTCCATACAACAGGACACCCTATAATTTATAACGGGGAGCAAGATTTAGTCTTAGAATGTTTTCACATGAGAAACAAATCCACAAAATGCCAGGAGCTGTTAGCATGATTGTACCTTTGGCTGAGCTATTCCAAGGCTTTCAAACAATTCAGGATGTTTAATAGGAAGTTCAATGACCTGCAAATTTTACCGCATGGCCAATCCACAACAAAACATGGGATTAAAAATGGAGAACCATACCAGAGAAAGGAGAAAACAAAAAGTGATAAGCCATAAAATGAACAAATTAAGAAAATGTAAGAAACACCTCTTTTATCTCTTTAATTTGTTGGTCAAGGCCACCGATCATGTCATATGTAGAATCTGGAACTTTTTCAACTTTCATAAGATTAACCAGGGGATCAACTTTGCTTGGTAAGATCAGATGCAGAACATAGCTGTCATTACGAAGAGCAACTCTTGTTGATGGAGTGATTTTTGTGACATCAATATTCTTATCAATATCAACAACATATTTTCCTTCTGGATGAACCTGGAGAAGCAATAACAATATAAAAGCAAAGTACAATTGAAACCAGCACTCATAAGTGACATCATGAATTGTAGAATAAGAGCAAAATGAATTATCTCAAGTTTAAGAAGCTTTTTTCAGAAACCGATTTTTAGTATGTATAATGATGTTATTCCCATTAATATGAAGTCAAAGAGAAAGCTACAAACTAAATAGGGTAAACTATCACACACCTTGACTAGAACTTTGTTTTTACCCATAACTTTCACAACCTCCCCAACATAGGACCCAGGCTCCTGAAGCAGCTGCAATTCCTCTCTAAGCATTCTCACTGTCCGATATGCAAAACGTCAAGAAAAAAAACTAAATGAATTCATGCACTAAAAAAGAAAAAGAAAACATTCTCTTAAAAAGAATTAAAGCCCCATATATCAAGAAGATAGTTAGATGCATTAGATGCTCTATCAAAGTAAAAATGCATTAGATGAGAATTGGCACAATCTTGTTAGATGTATTAGATGCACTATCAAAGTAAAAATGCAATGATGTTAAAATAAACACCCCCACTACACCCCCTTCTCCGTTTAAAGGTAAAAAAATGGAAATAAAATGAGAAGATAGTTACAAAGCAAGCCACCAACAATCACCAATATGACCATTCCGTTCAAACCAGACAAAATTTCCAAAAAGGATAACGCATTTATCAATTCAACCCATTCACAATATCGAGTGATGAGTAATAGCTATGTTGTTTACTTGCAAAAGGTTGAAGCCTTCAAAATTGAACAGATATTTTGCATAATCAATTATATTTTTGTTAAAACTCTTCCAGGTGTGCAGCCTTATAGTATGTCATGAAAGCTTCAATTTAATTCCATTGCATCAACCAAAAAGTTACGTCAGATCTAGAACAAAACCAAACAAACCTACAAGCTCAACTATTTTATTAACTACAGCAACCCAATTCTCATGGTACTCAGCCGATGAAATCACCGCGTTAACCTCTACAAATTACTATCCTTTGTTCAACTAAATATTGATATTTACTTACAGATCAGAACACCTGGGAAAAACAAAATAATTTATCTAAAAATAAAAATCCTAATCCCAAATCGGCAACTCTCAACCAACCCAAGAATGAAAAAGATTAATAGGAATTGAAAACAATAAATCGATGAAAGAAAAATAAGATTAGGGTTAAATGACCTCGAGAATTGAGCTCATTGCGCTGGGCTTCGAGGCGATTGAGATTGTGGGTTTTTTGGCGGAGATTGAGCTGGAGCTCGTGGATGTGTTGGAGATAGTATTGGCGGAGGCCCTCCCCTTGCTTGGCTCCACCCTTGGCGGTGCAAATCTCTTCGGCAGATACCGGTTGCTTCCTCTCGATACCCACCGTGGCCATTGAGTCTTGAATTTTAGGTTCTTGCTTTTGGCTTACCACGATCGCATTCAAGTATTTTATCAACGAGGGTTTTCTTTGACAACAAGTTTTAATTTGGATTTCGAATATGCTTTTGCAGTGGTACTACCGTATATGTATATGTATATGTATATGTATATGTATATGTATATGTATATGTATATGTATATGTATATGTATATGTATATGTATATGTATATGTATATGTATATGTATATGTATATGTATATGTATATGTATATGTATATGTATATGTATATGTATATGTATATGTATATGTATATGTATATGTATATGTATATGTATATGTATATGTATGTATATGTATATGTATATGTATATGTATGTATATGTATATGTATATGTATATGTATATGTATATGTATATGTATATGTATATGTATATGTATATGTATATGTATATGTATATGTATATAGTACAGAGTAATTACCGTATAGTTAACTATGAACACTTTTTTTAGTTAGAACATCCGAGTTTAAATTGTTTACATATTAATCATTCAATTACTTTATTAATAATTTTTTTAGTTAAATCACCCATTTCTAGAATTAGAATTAAATTAACAGTTAGTGAATATGTTATTGACAACTAGTGAATATTTTAAGCATAATACAAGAAAGTGTTTAAATATATATATATATATATATATATATATATATATATATATATTATTTAAGTGTCTGAATATTTTTATCAAAAATAAATATGCACATATAGGCCTGTAAATGAACTGAACGTTCAGCGAACCGTGCGGTGGGAAGTTCGTTCATGTGCGTTTATTTATTAAATAAACGAACATGAACAAGATTTTGTGTCCGTTTAATTAAATGAGCGAACATGAACATATGTCTCGTTCGTTCATTTACGTTCGTGAACGTTCAGTTATGTTCGTTCAGTTATGTTCGTTCATTTATGTTTAACCCAATCTTCTTAAATCAATTTTGGTGGCCAATTTGTAAGTATCTTAAAAATATTAATTAATCTGATATTCTAATGACCAACTCCATAATTAACCCAATTTTATTTGGAGATTAAATCCAATATATTAACCTGTGAGACACCTCGTACCTATATTCATTTTCCCCATTTTTTCTCAAACCCTAGTGTTCACTGGAGAGTGGAGACGATCGGTGAAAGCTTAAAAAAAGTTATATTCTAGTGCAATTTGAAGTTTTACAGGTCTGTTTTCATCTCTTTCTCTGTTTTATTTGGCTTAATAGTTGATATGTAAAGTTATTGTGGGTATCTTCACATCTAAAACTCAAAAAAACATCATACTTCTTTCTAGAAATAGATAGGAAGATAAAGATAACAATCGGAAGTATATGAACATCAGTAAAAAGGAAAATATATAAAATTTGCCAAAAAACAAAACAAATGTTTCTATGTAATTTCTGAAAAAGAGTGTAATAGCGGAAGTAATGGATTTTTCAGGAATAATCCATTAATAAGTAGAAAATACACATTGACAATGAACTTTTGTTTTCATAGTTCTTGTGTGACCTTTAGTTGTGGAGTAGACTTTAGGTACGTTAAAATTTTGAATGGTAGTTTAGCAATAATATCAGTTAGATATGTAACATCGGAGGGATTTCGGATCTATGTTATTGCCTTGTAGTCCAATTTGTACCGTTCAAAATCTTCATGCTGTTAAATTTTCTACTCTGCAAATGGAAATGATCATTATTAACAAAACTCACTAAAGTCTGACATTGATGTCACAAAACTTTTAACAGGCGAATTTATTAGAATAACGTAGTGGGAAATGATTGTTCATATGTAATCATGGACCACTAAGATAAATGTTATAGCATTAAATTAAAGTCGTGTGAATCAGTTAATATCTTTAAAAGCTCGATCGAAATATCTAATATCTTCAAACATTTCATCACTGCTAATCAGCTCTTACGCTATTTATCACTGTAGATTTGGTTGATTTGCATTGACGACTATTTTTAATGAAAGAACAATGGAAGGTAGGGTCTCCAACGTTTATGTTCGTTTATTTATTAAATGAACGAACATGAACAAGCTATATTCCTTAATGAACGAACATGAACAAAAATTTTTTTGTTCGTTTATGTTCGTTTATTTATTAAATGAACGAACATGAGCATACCTCCGTTCGTGTGCGTTCGGTTCGTTTGCAGGCCTATGCACATAATTTAAGATCAACCTATTTAGGTTTGTAAATGAACGAACACGAACAAGGTATGTTCTTGTTTGTTTGTTAAACTTTTATCAAACAAATAAACGAACACGAATAACTAAACAAACGTAATTTATTGTTCATGTTCATTCACTAAGGTGTGTAGTTTATTCGTGTTCGTTCATGTTTGTTCGTTAAAATGATAAACGACCACAAACGAACGAACGTAAACGAACAATCATAAAATTAACTGGGTTTATATTTGGGAAGAGTTTTTTATTTTCAAATAATTTTAGGATTTATATTTTCTTTAATTAATTTGAGTATTCTTTATTTATGTTTAAAATTAATTATATTTTAAATGAGTATTCTTTATTTAGGTTTAAAATTAATTAGATTTTAAAATATTAATGAGTTTAACGTTAAAATTTATTTGGTCTTTATTTTAAATGGGTCTGGAGACTGAGCTGAATATAAATGAATGAACATAAATGAATGGATTATCCAACGTAAATGAACGGACGGGTCATTTGTTCGTATTCGTTCCTTTAATTAAATGAACATAAAATATTGTTCATGTTCGTTCGTTTAATAAATAAATGAACATAAATGAACTTTCCACATAATGGTTCAACGTTCGGTTCTCAAGTAATAAAATTTTAAGGCACACCCGTAGTTCTTTGTCTTCTTCCTCTTCTGGCTCCATTTCTAAATTCATCTGTCGTCACCCAAGTATACGAAGGACTTCTAACTTGGTTAGAAATTTCAGGCTCTGTGGTAGTGAGGCAAGTTTAAGGCATCGAAACAAAACATGTAGCACCCCCAACCCGTACCCGACCCGAATAGGAGTCCGAGGTGTCACATTGACTTTTCAAAACATTTACTTGTACAAAATAGCGAATAATTTTAAACTTTCACTAAATAAAACTGAATAATTTACATAAATTATCTCAAAACTGTTTATAAAAATTATTAGCGCATAAGCGGTTTAAAGCTTTTGTAACCCCCTAGATCCGGCCTATGCGTTTCGACTAAGTCTAGTGGATCACATTCATGATTCTTAAAGACATTTTTCCGAAACCGTTATTCTATCAACGAAAAATCATATTTATAAATGACATTTATGAAATTATAATAAATTATACTATAAAAAAACCAACTCATGATTATGAGAAAAATAACAATTTAATTAAAACATGTCTTTAAAAATCCAAATTACAATAAACCAATATAAATTAGCAAAAGGAGTACTCTTTATAAAATATAATACTTTTAAAATAAGGCCCATGTTACTATAATAGAGTAAACATAAAAGATAAAACATTACAATACGATATACTTCAAGAGATATGTTGATCCTCCAAGTGCTTGATCCGAGTATCTAACCAACAGTATCTGAAAGGGGAAAATATTTTCGAAAAGTAAGCTAGGCTCAGTGTGTCCCAATAGTACAATAAAATCATAGTAGGTACAGTAATTGAGTAATAGTTCAGAAATTCATCATCAAACCATAATGAAGTTTAACTTTTGAAACTCGTAATTTAAAACCCTTCTCCTGTACACCATCCGCAATTCCCCAAAACTGCGTCCATAGGGCTTACCTTAAGCACACAGCAGAAAGGAAGCCAACCTAAAGATAGGCTTTGAGGCCTGTATCCTTAAGTTCGTAAGTCCGTAGGGCTTACCCTAAGCACACAACAAAGGGAGCTAACCTAATGAAGCATCTTGAGGCCCGTGGGCCTACCCAAGAGTCACATTAGGTCCATAAGGTTTACCAGCGTGATCAAAGTTGTACCTACGTAATGCAATCCAACCCAAAATCAGTATTTCAAAAATACTATTTATACAGTAAGCATAATTTCCATAATTTCATAATCAATATTATCATATACCAATGAAAACCAATCATATATCAGTCATATTCCATAAACCATCACTAGTAAATAGATGGATTAATAAAACATTAAACCATAGCTTTCAATGTACCATATTTCAAAACATATAAAACAATCAAGTAGTACACAGGGAACACACCTCGACAATAGGTTCAAATAGTAGATCTAGTGATTGCTGACCTCGCCACGCTCTGCTACTGTTTTCGAACCTAATCCATAATAACACTATATTACTAATGGGTAACAAAATTAATTTCTGAAATCGTAAAATTTACGGGTCTTACGGGTGAATACTGGCACAAGCGGCTTAACTGATCTAGAGGAGCTGGGTCGAGCTGTCGAACGATCAGGAGAGTCTCTTGTACCTTCAAACATTAATAATTTATCAGTTACAAGTCTTACTCAACCATTCAAAGCTTAAACTCTTTAGTACATAAGCATTTTTCGGATTTGACTATCAATTTGAAAGCTTTCGAGTATGAATTTGATCAAACGGAGTGCAGAATCGGAATCAGGGCGTCGAACAACATAAAGTATGACTTTTCGAAAATTCAAATTCTTGGTCAAAATCAAAGTCAACAGGTTTGACTGATGATTTGGAGGCCTTCGGGTTCAAATTTGGAAAAACGGACTTCGGAAACGGATTCGGAACATCAAAAAAATGTCAGAATAGGTATACTCGAACAAAATCAAAGGTCGTTTAATTGCTGTTTAAAGCCGGTCAAAGTTATGGTCAAAGGGGTTCAATAGTCCACATTTGAAAATTACAAAAATATCACCTTTATTAAAAATAATTACCAAAATATCACCGTTTTACAAATAATTCCCAAAATGTCATATTTTAAAAATAATTACCAAAATGTCACATTTTTCAAAATAATTCCCAAAATGTCATTTTTTCAAAAATAATTCCCAAAATATCACTGAGTCGGGTCGAGTCGGGTTAGGTCAGACCGGTCAACCCGGTTACAACATCACCCAACCGTTCGCATCCTTCACCACGCTGCGCGTGGGGGCGCGTGAGAC